GTTGCAGCAGCTCGCTTGCTCTTGATCTCCTGGTGCTTCACAAGTTTCTTCGCCATGCTAACAGCAAGTCAAAGACACCTCCTCCTCAGCCGCCACACTACATGGCACTCAGCTTGGTTGCAGACTTCATCGCCTTCGCCGCTGCTCTCTTCTCGGCAGCTTCTTGTGCCTTCTCAGCTGCCTCGTGAGCTGAGATCTGCCTCGAGGCTAGCTTGCTGATGTCTTGGTCGATCTTCATCTGAATCTTCTTCCTCGCCACCTGACCACCCAAATCAGAGCCCCCCCCCAAACCTTCCTCCTCCTCCTCCTCCTCCTCCTCCTCCTCCTCGAGCCCTCACCTTGTCCTCCTGCTCCATCCTTCGCAGTTCCACAAACTTCGCCCTCAGCGCCTTCATCTCCAACTTCTGCCTGCGTGTCGGCGAGAAGATCCCAAGGTACCTGAAGCCTTTTAAGCTGCTTCTTCCTTCCCTCTTCATCCATTTCTACTTCTACCTCCCTCCTCCTCCTCCCTTCCTCTGATCTCCCCCCTCCCTCCTCCTCCTCTTATGTTCTCACCTGGAAGATTCACCAGTCTTTGTGGCTCCGATGTTTCCCATCTCCAAGGCGACTTTCTCCTTCCTCCTCGCCACTTTCTTCTCCTTCCTCGCGTCCTCCAGCTCCTCCTGCATCAGAGCTGAGACCTTGGCATCCAGCCCGGCGCTCTTATGACCCTGAGTGAGGCAGAACGTGAGCATGAAACGTGTCGCACAAGAATCTCGACACCTTCGCTGCGGTCGCGGAGGGTTTGGGCTTGACAGAAGGGATCGAGTTGGAGATTTTGGAGAGAAGCGAAGTGAAGGAGGAGGACGAGAGGAGGGAAGACGAAGGAGGAGGTGGAGACGACATTATCGACAAGGCTGCGCATGCCACCAGCATAATCCCTGCCGCCGCCGCCGCTACCTGCCGCCACCCGCCACCTATCACCATTGGACTATTTCGGGTGATCGAGGTGATCGTTACGATTCTAACGGTGCCAGACTTCGCCGTGTGCCGGGCCCCGGGTGACCAGTGACCCGCCGCCGGCCGGCCCCGGGCCAACTTGAGTGTGACTTTCATGTGCTGAGTGCGGCGGCCGAGTCGGAGCTGAAGGAGCCGGGCAGCACTGCAGGTCACGAGACTCGAGGCTTGACAGTACGGTACAGTACAGTACACTCATCGTTTACTAGTAGACTCAGTCCGCCCGGCCGGCAGTGGCTGAAATCACTCAGTAGCCAGCACTGTGACTCAGGCTGAGGCTACACTGAACAGCCTCTGCTTCAATAGTTGTAGTCGACACCCCAGTTCACTCCTGGCCCGAACTCGTTGGTCGCATGATCGCCTGCGAGAAAGTCGGACGAGTCAGTGAGGCAGCCGCTAGTCTTCCGCCCACCACTCACTTCCTACAGTCCCGTCCAGGCGAACGGCCCCTTGTCCCTGCCCATTGCTGAAGATGTAGCCCTGAAGACTGAGTCAGAGACACTTGCTGCTCCTCGTCTCTGCTCTTCTCCCAGCTGCTCTTCCTCTTGTCTTCACATCCCGCCTCACCTCTTTGGCAACTGCTGGCGAGCTCGGTGCGGCCGGGTAGTTGTAGGCGTTACTGGAAGGATAGAACCTGCAAGATGTTCAGCAAGAAGCAGCAGCGCGGCTGTGAGCATCACTGAGCCGGGAAGTAGTTGTAGGCAGGAGTTGCTTGTTCCTGTCAGGCAGTCAGAGCTGCGGGCATCGCACGGGCTGAACCTACCGGAACGTATCCCCACTCAGAGCCGTCGGACTGCATGGGACCCACGTTGATCATCTCGTAGTGAGGGTTTCCCCTGCCATCGACGCTCAACCCTCCCTCTCCCTCATGTCACCCTCACCCGCCGCTTGACGGGCCAGACAGAGTCTTGTAGCCCACGTCCTCGTACCGCCACCACCTGCTCCTCGTCACCTCCCTCTGCCCCTCAAGGCCAGCAAGACGCACTGATCAGAGTTGGGGTCCGGCTGCACCACAGGAGTGTCGGCAGTGCCGTAGACGAAGTTTGGGTTAAAGGCGATGGAGCCTTCTGGGGTAGCCTCGCCTCGAACATTAATGGTCGTGTAGACGCCGTTGTCTGGTACGATCCAGAGCCTCTGGGTCTGAGGTAGAGTGAGCTCCAACATGAGCAGCTGAGGCTACGGCGAACCTTTGATGCCGGATGCATCTGACGCTGAAGCAGCTTACGCTGGTATATAGCATCTGTGGACATGCCGCAATCAAGATTGAAGAAAATACTCAAGCGCGATGATGAAGAAAGAGATGATGACTTATGCTGATGATGTTGAAAATGGATAACATGGTGATGATATGAATGATCAGAGTGTTAAATCTTGAGGAGGAGGAGAAGGCATTGCCCTGCAAGGATCCTCTACCTGAGGCGCTTGAATGTCGCGTAGCAACGAGAGCGAGCAGGAGGAGGATAGCTGATGCAGCAGCTCCAGCAGCGAGGAGAGATGTCTGAGTGAGCCGAGGACGATGATATGAGAGCAGAGCTGTGGCAGAAGAGGCGACCCGCTGGTACTCCTCCTCCTCCTCCACCCTCGCTCCAACCATTTCCCAACAGCCGCGATACCCTCATCCCCTCTCAGACCTACTCATCTCCCTCCTGCTCAATGTGATCCCCTCATACAGCACTCAACCTTTTCGCCCCCGAAAATGCTGAAAGAGAATTTTGCGAGGAATGGAAGAAAGTCGGGAAGAAGAAGGAGAGGAAGTAGGAGGGGGGTGGGGGTCTGAGAGACAGTCAGAGACAGAGACATGGGGAAAGAGAGACAGGGAGGACATGCGTCGGCGTCTATCCTGCTCCCCTTCTTCATGATGCGTCCGTCTGCCTAGTTGAAGCGTCTAATGTGATTGTCTCTGTCAGGATTCGCCTCACATGGCAGCTCCCAATGTCCTGGGGCAGCAGATGCTGTCAATGTTCGTACAGCAGTTTCAACGAAGAGAGGGAGAGGTGCTCTCATCATCATCGCCATCTCCATCTCCATCATCTTTATCACCACCACCACCACCACCACCATCTCCTTGTCTTCTACCCTCCGCTGCTCACGTAGCCTGTAGGCCTTGAGGAGCGCCTCCTCGCAAGCTCTTCTCCATGAGCTGCTTCGTCGCGAGCTGCGGCAGTTTCGAGCAGAGGAGCTGGTGGAGGCACTTGAAGAGAGAGGAGAGGATGAGCTGCGTGCCTGCTCTCCCCGCCTTCAAGGTCTACTTCCACCCCCCTTCGCCCCCTTCCTCCTCCCCCCCCTTCCTCCTCCTCTTCCTCCTCCTCTTGATCACTGATGGATGTGTCATTCAGCGCTCTTACTTCGCGTTCAAAGTGTTGAGACGAGCAAGTTAGAGGGCATGGCGGAGGAGGTGGGGGCCCAGAGACGCGCAGAGGAAGCAGAGAAGGAGGAGGAGAGGAGGGAGGAGGAGGGGGGGAAGAAGAGAGAGGGACAGAAGGAGGAGGCTTCTTCCTCTCCGGGCCTTTCTCTCTTGTTCAGCCAGCAATACCTCGCTATCCTCTCAAGCTTGTGGCCGCCTGATCGCGTCAGGACGGGCATGGCCACCTGCTCCTTCCTCTTCTCTGCTCTCCGATCGTCTCCTCTCGTCCTCCTCCCCGTCCGCAGGTCCTTCGCTGTCCAGCCTGCAAGGAACTGCCTGCTGAAGCATGCGGCGAGCGTGGGTGAGACGCGAGAGAGGAAGAGCGGCAGAAAAGAAGAGCAGAAGCAGAACGGGAGGGAGGGTTTTGGGAGGGCAGGCAGGCAGGTGGAGGAGGAGGAAGTCTCTAACGCCGTAGTCCAGCTCTCTCTTCTGAAGTCCGCGTTCTCGCTCCTCCCATAGTGGAAGCTCTTCATTCTGCTGCCGTAGAGGGATGGGAGGTAAAACCCCATTGCTCCTCCCCCTCCCTCCTCTCCCTCCCTCCTCTCCCTACTCTCCCTCCCTTCTCTCCTTCACTCCCTTTCCTCCTCTCTCATCAACCGCTTCGTGCTCAGGGTCTGCTTTCTCTGTCGCTCAAGCGAGCGAACTTCTCACCCAAAGTAGAGGAGGGGCAAGGCCAGGCAGGTAGGACGAGGATCGTGAGAGGAGGGGGAGGAAGCAGAACTTCTGATGGGGCTGAAGACCTTAGGAAACTTGTGCATGTGTTGAGCAGGAGCAAGGTGTTGACGAGTCTAGACCTGCGAAACTGGTGCAGGAGGAGGAGGAGTGAACGGTACGCTAAGAGGCTGCGGCAGCGAGCTGGAGGAGGAGGGCTGGGGCCTCCTGTCGTCCTCCCTCTCCCATCTTTCCTGCTTGCGCACCCTCGACCTCAGCCACACGTCTTGTGGGGACTTGGTGAGTGTTGACGAGACGGGGGAAGATGAGAGGAGGTAGGAGGGGCTGTTACGAGCCTACGACAGGGGGTACGAGCACTGTCTGCATTTCTGCCTAGCTTGGTGGGTTTGCGCGACCTGGCGCTGGTTGGAAATCAAATCGGAGCTGAAGGAAGCGAAGGGCTGGCGTCGGGGTTGACATGTGAGGACGAAGGGAGGGAGAGGAGGGGGAGAAGGAGAGGAGGGATATGGAAGAGGACGAGGAGGAGAAGGAGAGGTTGAGCCAGGCAGCAGGTCTCAAGGAGCTGAAGAGACTTGAGCTGGGGATGAATTGGATCAAGGCGAAAGGGATAAAACAGCTAACAGGTCTGCGAAAGAGGGGAAGAGATGGGAGGAGAGAGTGCGAGAGAGCAAGGGGAGGGGAGCGAGGGGGAGGGGGGTAAGGAGCGAGGGGACGGGGACGGGGAGGGGGAGGGGGAAGGAGGGGTCGAGGGTTTGGAGTAGGCGTTGGCAGGATC